CATACATCTCAGAACTGTACTAATTTGTATGCCTCTAGGAACTTTAGTATACCACATTGGCCCTGTCTATCTAAAGTGCCTCCCTGCTACTAGTTCATCGTCTTTATCTTTCTCCTGAGATAGAAATGATATATAACAATATGAATAAAGATATATTTGGAGGGATAAAAGCATTTTGGTTTTTTTTTCAAGAGTAAAAGTTTGTTTTCTTTAAAAGTAGTAATATTAAGTTTCTTCCAAGAAATAAGTAAACCATAATTAAGGTCATGTTTTATAATCTTTCTTAAGGTGTCTATTTTGTTCTCATCTGTTAGTTAAAAAATATGTTGAAATTTTATAAATCTTCTAGAGGTATTGGTTCTGACAGTATTATAGTAACAAGTATAAGTAAAGAAGATATTTTTGTTCTTTGATAGTCTTCAAAGATGATATTAATAATATTGATACTTTTTAGGTTACTTTGTAGAGAGTAAACAGGTGTCATCTATATTTTTAGACAGTTTTCTAGCCTGGAAAAATGAATTGACTAGGTTGAAGTGAAGGTAGAAATTTTATTTGTTTTAGTGTTTTTGTAGATAATAATAGCTTGAGGGTTTTTGATATTGGTTACAAGTATATTAAGAAAAATATATTTATGGTTGGCTGTTTGACCCTTAAAAGAAGAGAATTCCCTAGGATCTTTTGTTTTTTTTTTCCAAAAAGAAATTTTGAGTTTTCTAATTTAGTAATTTTTTACAATGTGAGTGTATTTGAAAAAGAGTTTTTTTTTTTAGTTGTTAAGAAAATATTTGTTTTGTTTTTAAAAAAAAGAGCAAATGGCTATTACGCTTTATTATATTTATTATACTTTTACTTGCAAAGCAAGGTACAATACTCAATAATATGACATATGTCTCTCTTTGTTAGGAAGATTTAATGTAAGGCTCCTATATGGAGCCAAACTCTGTATTCTTTTAGCACCATTCAAGAAATATAGACAAAAAGAAATTCAAAAATCTATATTATATTTATGAATGATGTCTAGCTATCTAGAAGTAAATGAATACCTAATCATATAAAGGCATTGCAGCCAATCTATATAGGTTGACCTCCAAGTCATAATTAGAATTGGCACATCTGCTTTTCAAATATGACTTGATGTACAGCAAGCAAAGTAGTGTTAGAGGTGATAGGAAATAAGTATCTTTTTGCATAAAAACGCTACAGCTACTTTATATAGGTTTGTCTTCAAGTTACAAAAAGGATTTGATACACCCATGCTTCAAATGTGGTGGAAGTGTTCTATGGGTGGAGTTTATATTGGTTTTCTTAGTAGCACTAGAACCTAATCTTGTATAATAGACCTACATTGTAGGAGAAGTAAGTAAGGAACTTCGTTGTTATCACCAGCTCATATTGCAGGGTAACTAGAATCCCTGATCATTACGTATTACTCTATTAAGTTCTTCAATTACCAGCATGACACCTGCAACTAATTAGCTTATTGCTAGCTGTATTGGCATTGGCTGCCATTTTACTTTGAATACTATGGGACACAACTCCTTGGGTACTTTTAGATAATAATAATTGTACAAAGATTTTTTGAGCATATCTAGTTTAACCACCAATCAGTAAACAATATTGGGTTTGGTAATGATGGCCATGTCGATTTTTTGAAGGGGTAAGCCATCTGTCCTTTTGTTAAGAAAATATTTGTTTTTTTTTTAAGTTATAAACCAACATTATATACATAACATTTTATTAATATTAAGTTATTGTTAGTACATCAAACGTCCCACTCCACTTATTGATGGGGTTAATACTACATTATCTGGCTATTACTAGCAAGTGTGCTTACTATGTTTGCAACTTTGACATACTTGGCTATACGAAATTTTAAACATCAGTAGATAATTTACATATCAAGTGGAACTTATATAGGAGGTGAAAATCCTACCACTAGTTTAAACCACCTAACTTACTAGGTTCAGTCTTGACTGCATCTGTTGTGGATAGGGCATATTATGGAATATTATTATAGAGATTAACTCCAGTATTCCAGTTACTGTTATTACTAATCCTCGAGATGTACTACTAGCATAATGCAGTATTACCATTTGTTAAAAAAATATTTGTTTTTCTTTGGATTTAAAATTATATTTAAGCAAAATTTTGAAATTTTGCAAACTTAAAAAATATATAAAATTATATTTTTTCTAATTATTAGCAAGATATCATTTTTGGCTGTATTGAAGTTTTTATAAATAATAACTCTATTATTAATATTTTTGAGGCAATTAACTTTTTTTTTTTGTATATATCAAAATAGATCTATTGTTTATGATATTAGCAAGTGCCTTGAATTTAATATGTTCATTAGGTTCTCTGATATTAATAATAGTAAATGGAATCATATTCTTGATTTTGATTTTGTTATTTGAATTGAAAGTAAATATATATGAAATAGATTTATGTTTTGATAAGTTAATATAAAAGAGATGGTTATTGGTTGGATTGGAGATATCAGTAGAGATGTCAAGATTTTTGTGATTTGTAATCATAAATTAAATATTAACAAAAAAAAAAGGTAAGAGCAAACTCTGGTTCAGGAAGCATCTTATTGTTTATGAGAGATTCAGGAAGTTTGTTAAAGGAAAAGATTTTGTGAAACTCAAATATGTTAATAGAGAGGATGTCATTGTCATGTAAAGAAATGTTTATTAGAGTTTCTCTCTCTTCTAATATTTAATTGATAATGGCTGAATCACTTGGGAGTAAATTTAAAGAAGCCAAGAACCAATCATCTGGGATTCTTTGAATAATTGAGGCTTCATGATTGTCCTGAGGAGGCCAACACTTATAAAGAGTTTTAATGGTTATGTGGTGGGCCTGAGAATAGTGGAGATATGATAAGATACCTTTGATAAGATTCTATCCACATCCTTTGCTGGCTTAGACATTCTTTTGGCCAGTTGTTGGTGGAGAGAACTTAATGAATTTGTTTCTTGGAAATGATTGTAAAAGTCTTTGCTGGCATAATCATTTATTTAAAAATTCTCATTCGGAGATTTTCCATTTCTTTGACAGGCGTGAAGTATAAGCATCCAATTCTTCTTCTGATGACATATATAATAGACGAAAACGATTTTACTTTTAGGCATTGCTAAAGTCGCGGACTGCAACCAAAATAAAATGGCCTAGGTAGAAACGATCGTGTCGCGTACATACTGTATATATAGAGCAGATTAGGATCGTTCATTTGTAACGTAATAAGGATGTACAGTATTTATCTGAACACACGCTGGATAAAATAGGCCAAGTCATATGATTACTACTGAGCGAGATTCATTTTCTTGGTTTTATGTTAATAGTTTATTAATGACAGATAAGGAACAATAAACTAATATGATAACATGGTTAAATAAAATAAATCAACGATATGACTATAAAATATGTTATAAATAATATGTATAAAATTCGAAATCGAAAATAATTGAAAATATATTCTTCAATTGCAATGAAGCGCCTTAATCTTTGTATTTATTCATCACACCCGAAGTTCTGTAAAAAATGGTCAATAAATCAGGACGCTTTTCTGGGTCAGCATCTAAACATTCATTTATGATGGCAGCATATTCCGGTGGAGTTCCCTCGACAATTTCTGGTCGTTCCCCATCAAGAATTGCACGGACAAGATCAGCATCATATGGTCGATCGCTAAAAGGTGGTTTGCCGGATGAAAACTCCCACATAATCATTCCAAAACTATAAATATCGGATTTCATCGTGGCTTCTTTTTTCCCCAATACTTCAGGTGCAATAAATGGGAGACTTTCGTAATAATCTTCCGCGTGTTGATAAAGGCCCAAATCAGCAATAAGAAATTGATCGGTTTTTTTTTCGTACAAGACGTTACCCGGATGTAAATTCCCGTGAACGTTACCGGGTTGCAAGTTTTTATGAACCCAGGATGATGCATTAACACCCTCGATTTTCGATAGAACTGAATTGGCACGATATATTTTTTCGTACCAGGAGAATTTAGAATGCTTAAGTGAGATGTATTCATGTAAATTATAATCATATTGCTTTAGAACGATCATGTATTCTTGAGTCATAGGATCTTTGGTTATTCCATAAAATGCAGTAGCGAATATACTGAGCTTGTGAAGTTTAAATTCGGTTATAACCTAAAAGTCATGTGGAGAATAATCAACGTCTTAGAAATTTTTGGAAGTTACAATAATCTGTATATGAAAGTCGTTCAATACGTACTTTAAACCATTCCCCATCCATTTTGTCAGAATTCTCAAGTTTCTTGAGAATGACATTTGTTCTACCGAATCGATCGACTGCGTGGGTTTCTGGATTAAACTTGTCAAACGGACCTTTACTCCAAGTCGCCGAATAAATATCAGAACGATGGCCCTTAATCTTATGTTTAACTTCTTCGAAGTCACTAAAAGGTATCCATTCGACCACCATGTCTGGGCACGATGCGTTTAATTGAGCATCCTGGATAATCTTGTCGATTTCATCATTTCCTGAAGTCCACTTTCCAAAGTTTTTCTTAAAGAAATGTCGGATACAATGCTCACAATATTGAGCGGCATAGGCCCAGCTTTGGCATCTTTCGCATAGTTCTGGGTCGTTCTCTTGATGATCGACATTCCATCTATCGATAAAGGAATCAAGTCTATTTATCAACTCTGCTTTCTCCGACTCATTTACTGACTGAGAGCTTTCGAGGTAGGAATTTCGTAGATGTTCGAATACTTGTGTCATCGTTGTACACTTGGAGTAGTCAACGTTTTTCCATCCATTTGTCCAGATTTCGTTCAATTTATCGGTATCAATTTCGCTCATTTTTTTTTATTGAGAAGATGAATAGAGTTTTGAAAGATTTGAGCGATTTTTACAATTAATGTGTGGGAAAAAATCATGCTCAGCAAATTTGCGTATTAAACCAAATCCCTATATCGATGTTTTATGGTTAAATATAAAAAGGAAATGTTTTCGCGTACAGATTTACCGTGATCCTAAGGGTGATCCTAAGTGATATAAAACCAGCTAACGACTCGTCTGTGTTAGTAACTATCCTTTTTGGATTTTGAGACATACTGTACGTATTATTGAGGATAAAGCTCTCGTTAAATTTCTATGCAATGTAAATAAATTTAATTTTGCTTAGAATTGTTGTCTATACTGCAATATCTTTAAAATACTGTAATTATAACTTTAAAAAACATTGTACATCTTAATAATTTATTAGGTGATAATTATCACGATTTTTTTGCTTTGAAAAATTAATAAAAAAATTTTTTTTAAACAAACTTATTAAATTAACTATTTGATTTTAAAAGATTGTAAAGACCAAGATTTTAAATTTGTTTTGTAATAAGTAATAATAATAAATTTAAATAAAAAAACCAATTAAATTTTTTTGCTTAAATATATTAAATGTACTGTATATACAGTAAACAACATACATTATTTTTAACAAAAAAATCAATTGTATATTTAAAATAATTAAAAAATATGTAATTACTTGATTAAAATAATCAATTAAATGTTTATTACTTAATAAAAATACATAAACAAGAGCAAAAATATTAAAAAATTATAAAAGGAGCAAAGAATAAATTAAAAATCAAAATAATAACCAAAATCACAAACCAAAAATCTGGAAAAAACAAAATTCAGGAAAAATAATAATTGAATATATTAAATAAAAAACATTTAAAATTTTTAGAAAACAAACCTTTATTATTACAAAATAATTTGGAAAAGAATATTTAATAAATATTTTAAAAAATATATTATTATTATTATTTTTTTTTGCAAGGTATTTCTCAAACTGTGATCTTTATTAATTATTAATTTAATTTTTACAGAGATAACTAAGTATAAAATTTACAAAAATAGTGATACATTGAGATATGTTACTATAAACATCGATCTATTAATAAATAAATATATTCTATAAAAACTATAATTGGAGAAATTTTAGAAGTAATTATTTACTAAATTAGGGAGTCAATATATCCTTAATAATTTAGTTTTTATCCAAATCTGATGAAAATAAGTTTTCAGTTAGTAATGTTAGAATAGAAGGTATAGTTGTTATTGGTGCAGTTTACTGGTGTTGTGTTAGTAATTGAGTTTTTTTTATTAAGTTAAGATTGATTGTTCTTGTTTTTGATATTATTTTTGTTTCTTTTTTGTTATGTTATAGTACCAAAAAATTTTTCTAAAAAATCATGTCATTATTTCTGGATTTCCATATGTTGTTATATATTAGTTCGAGAAGTTTGTTAAAGATTTGTATATGTTTGAAAATTGGAATAGGTTTTTGATTTGGAATTAGAACTGAGAAGGTGATTGAACCAGTAGCAATTTGTATTATATTTTGAATATTATTAAAGTATTGTAGGTTATGTTCAGAAAAGTTATTAATTGTTTATTGATAATTTGTTATATTGAGATAATAATTGTTTTTAATATATTGTTATTAATAGAACAGTTCCAAATATGATTGATGGTTTCTTCTGAGCTGTTGCAGTATAAACAAAGATTATTTAAATAAAGATTGAATTTGATAGTATAGAGGTGAGATTTGGTAGGAAGATTATAAGAGATAATTTTAAGATGAAAGTTATAAATGGCTGATTCTGAGATGTTGATGAGTATTGATACTGATTTAATAAATTTGAAGGTATAAGAAAGATTTTGGAAATTGGGTTGAAAGGTTATTTGAAGTCTTTTTGAGTTTAGAATATTAAAAGTTCTAAAAAAATGATTGATTTTTTAATATATTTTCAGATAGAAAGAAGTGGTAAGCCAGAATAATTAGTTAAGGTATATAAAGAAAGTTGAGAATTAAAGTATAGGTTTATTAAGATTATTATTGAATTGTGAGATAGAGATATATTGCGTGAAGGTTTTTAAAAGGAACAGTGTGTTTGCAAAAATTAAATACTTTGTTTTAAGTTATCGATTATATTTTGTATAGTGTTTTGCAATTTATTCAGTGATTTTTTGAATTGGGAAAAAATATGGTTTTAAAAAATATATTATTTCTATAACAAAAAAGAAGATTATATATATATATTTATAATTATTAAAATATTTATAATAAAAAAAAATTTAAAAACAATTTTAATATATAAATATAAAAAAAATAATTCTTTAAAAGATAAAACTGAATTATATTATTTAATAAAAATAATCACTTAATAAATTTATAGTATTTTTTTTTTTTTTTATCGCAAACAGGCATTAAATGCGAGACATTTATTAAACATCAGTTTATCGTCATTATATTAACAATCTTTA